AGACACAGACATAGACACAGACATAGACACAGACATAGACACAGACATAGACACAGACATAGACACAGACACAGAGTAATTAATTAGAGTCAATGAACGAATAGCAAGTAATTAATTCAAGTTAATCACAGCCATAGCTAAATCTCTCTCATCTCTTATGAGCGGCGTCAAGGTCAAGGTCGAGATCGGTTGTATGGGACTCCGTGATCTTCCCTTTCTCGTTCTCGCTGGCGGCCATATCCATCTCTTGACCCATCACTTCTTCCACGTTCTTCAGCTCCTCATTGGAGAAGTCGTAAGGGACGAAGTCATGGGCCCCTGGAATCGGGGAGACGTAGCAGATGCCGGTGTAGATGCAGAATCCACCGACGAGACCTAAATGGTATCGATGGCACATTGGTCAGCTGTACTGTGTTGTGTTGTATAGATGGGGTTTGCTCTGCTCTGCTCTGCTGCAGGAGCACAAGCACACCTTTGGAGTGGAAGTGAACTCACCGATCAAAAAGGCCAGGCGAAAGATTCGTCTCCAAGATTCGTTAAGATCGTGGCCGCCGGCAGAAGCGACCAACCCAGCTGCACAAGAGTCCGGAGGTCAGCACAATTCGAGACTCGTTGATAACGTTACGCTAGTAGTCAAGCCAGTCAAGCCAGTCAAGCCAGTCAAGCCAGTCAAGCAAGTCAAGCAAGTCAAGCACGTACTTGCTTCCCGTGTTTCCCGTGTTTCCGGAAGCCAAGTACATGAGATAACAAGGAAGAACTTACGCATCGAAACCCAAATCAGCGATAGCCATGTCACAAAAGCCCTCCAATGCAGACCCCAATGGTACCAGTAGATGGAGGAGCGGTTGCCAATGTACAGATGGGGGACATTGTAGGCCTGGCGACGCACGACCCAGTAATCGGCCAGCATTATGCCGATCAACGGTGCGATAAAGATGCCCAGCGAGCCGATGACGGTGATGAAGGTGCCGGGAGAATTGACCAGGTTCCAGGGACACATGGCAATGCCGACCAAGGCGAGGATGACGCTGCCTCGTCGCTGGCTAATCCATTCGGGAAGGATGGAGCTCAAGTCCATTCCGGTGGCGACAGCGTTGGACGAAACATTGACCTATTTTGAATCAGAACAAGGACAGTTTAAAGAGGCGCGAATAGGACAGTCTAAACAGGCTCGAACAGGACAGTCTCAACAGGCACGAACAAGGACAATCTAAACAGGCGCGCGTTTTGAAGGAGGGTAAAGGGTAAAGAGCAGAGAGCAGAGAACAGAGGCAAAGAATAGAGAGCAGAGAGCAGAGGACAGAAGACTAGACGAAAACAAGCGGAAATACCTACCGCAATCTGGCTCATAAACCAGCCAAGTCCGGCAAAAAATGTGCCTGCGCGCGTAGTCGAGCTATAGTCCTGCTGTTGGATGTAGACCAGGATAGACATGGGCTGCCAAATGATCTTGCCGTACATAGATTTGGTGGCGCTGGTGACGAAGACGCCGAAGATGGCGGCAATCGACACGGTCAAGGGACAAGCGATCCAGAATCCCAGTCGGGCCGCCCGGGGAGTCTTTGCATAGCGAGTCCAGTCGGAATGCCGGATGCCAACCCCGGTGAAGGTGGTGGCCATGGTACAGATGGACTGGAAGAAGACAAAAACTGTGGTGCTATATTTTTAATATTGGTTTCGGTCAGCGGGCTTCTACTTCAAAACCAGAGTTGGGAATAAAAGGGAATAAAAGGGAAGGAGGGAAGACAAGACACAGCAAGTGCCGTTGCGGTTTAAACTAACCCTGTGCCCAATTTGAGGGTGGGTGTGACCAGGTCGCCGGCACCATGGTTTTTCGCCATGGCCCAGATGAACATGCCCAAGATGGTCAAGATGACGCCGACGAAGCTGACCAGGAAGAAGGGCTGGAGCTTGTACGGCCTGACCATGATCAGAGCGACAAAGACGACAAAGTAGATGATGGTTCCGATAAGATCTTGGGTGGTGACATTGGCACTGGGGTTGTGTTAACATTATATCATGACAGACATCCATCACAGACATCCATCACAGACATCCATCACAGACATCCATAATAGACATCCATAATAGACATCCATAATAGACATCCATCACAGACCAGTGAGTCCGGCGTCAAGGAGGGAGGGAGTGGTTGAACCGACCTTTCAGGAATCGTATTTTTCATGCGGTAGAAGGAAGGGAAAATGGCGGCCAGCATAACACGCATGGCGATGCCGCCCCAGTAGGTCTGAATGCCGCAGCTGGAGGTGGGAAAGGAGTCGGGTCAGCATCACTAATACAGGACAACAACTCAGCTCAACTCAGCTCACTGACAACCACTTACTAGACAAAGTTGGAGAAACATTTGAGGATGACGACAAAGTAGCTGCCATACATGCCAAAGACAGCGCGGCTCAGCATGGGAAAGCCGAGATGGTACTTGAGCCCGAACTCGGAGCAACCGCAAGTCACGATGGCGGAGATGATGGCGCCAATGAGCAGGGCGGGAATTGCCTCGCCGACACTGAGGCCGGCGGCGATGGCGGTCGAGCCCATGGTCCAGTAGGTGGCGGCAATGCCGGCGGAAACCCTGACACATGGGTATATTAGTATGTACAGAGTGAGTGATGTTTGACAGTACATAGTATGTGAGTCTTTGAGGGCAGTGACAGCACATGGTAAAGGAGGGAACAATGGTTATAGAACTGTGATGGAAGTGGAAGGGAGAAACACTCACCAAAAGCCAAAGTACGACTTGGTGTTGAAGTTGCGGTTCTCCGCGAGCACGGGCAGAATGTCTGCGTTGGTCCACCGATCCGTACGACGGCCATGTTGGGAGTCGTGGACGCGAAGACGAGCCAGCAACGACGACATGGCGGAGTGATGTGTACGGTGTACACGGTATTTGTCTAGGTTACCGGGGTCCTGCGTCTTGTATTTTGTATGTTGTATCTTGTGTGTTGTGTGTTGTATGCTATGTTTTGTATCTTGTGTCTTGTCTTGTCCTCTGTCTTGATACCTGACCTGACCGTGATGCTGATGCTGATGCGATGTTGACCCAACTCCGGCCCAGCGAGGCGAGGCGAGGCGAGCAGAGAACCAGAGGGTTTATATCTGAACAAAATATCCTCCTGACCTCCTGGCGTCGCCCGTGGTTCGTCGACAAGTCAGTCTCAGAGTCCGTCTCAGTCTCGCCAGATTGGTACTGTCCAGTGCGATAAGCATGCCTGGGAATAGCAGAGCATGGACTGATGGACTGACAACTGACAACTGCCAACTGCCAACCGCCAACCGACAACTGCGCATCTGGCCGTTCGACATCGGCCAGAGTGGGCAGGCCGGCTCGCAGCGCCGCGACGGCGTCGTTTCTTCAAAGGTCTTAGAGTCTTGGGGGTTTGATAAGACGGAGTGGAGCGGGGACTGGACTTGGTGGGACGATGTGGAATGTACTCTGTATGTATCCATACCTAACTGATATGACTAGTATGGTCCTAGTATGGTCCTAGTATGGGGGTAGTATGGTAGTAATATTGGCCTGGTAGAGTATCATCAGTAGTAATTACGAGGAAGATTAGTATTGCAGTGTCTCCAGACGACATACCTTTCCGTACTAAGCCCAAAGCGGCGATTTTACACGCATCCCCATCGCAGCATGATGAGATGAGGTGAGATGAGCGGCTTGTCTCGACAGCCACCTCCACCTCCACTTCCACTTCCACGTTCTCATCCCACGACATGAATTGCCATGACCACGGTGGACACGGCATGTCCCTACAAGGCGCGCCCTGCCCTTCCCGGTCCGGTCCAGAACAGATCTGGAGTTGGCCCAGATGTAGGGAGAAGATCTGGTGAGCGACGAAGAAGACCGTGGCCACCTAAAAAAACATTGAGGAGTTGATTCGCACCGCACCGCGCCTATCTCTGTTTTCTCATGTTCCTTGTTCAGTTTGCTCCTCGGGTCGTGGACTGGAGGCTTTCTCTTTCTCGCTCTCGCCCACGCTCGCCTCGCCCAAAATGACCTCCAAGATATTCCACCGCTCCTTGACCGCGTCGTATCCTTCAGCTATCGGGGGTCAAGGATGCTACGTCGTCACCGGCGATGGCAGGCAGATTCTCGACGGCAGCAGCGGCGCCGCCGTATCATGTCTCGGCCATGGAAACCCAGAAGTCACCGATGCCATTGTGGCGCAGGCTCAGGCCATGTCCTTCGCCCATACATCCTTCTTCACCTCCGATCCCGCAGAAGAGCTGGCCAAGGTGATGATGGAAAAGAGCGACGGGGCTTTTTGCCGCATGATGCTGCTGTGCTCCGGGTCCGAGGCGGTGGAATCGGCGCTCAAACTGGCCCGGCAGTACCACGTCTACCGGGGTCAGCCACAACGCATCAAAATCATCGGCCGCATGCACTCGTACCATGGCAACACGCTGGGCGCACTGGCGGCCGGCAACAATCCACCGCGGCGGAAGACATACGCGCCCATACTCAGCCCGAGTTTCCACCATGTCAGTCGCTGTTTCCATGCGGCCGACGGGCCTGATCTCGAGGAACAAGTGTACGAGGACCAGCTGATTGCCGAGTTCGAAGCCAAGTTCCACGAACTCGGCCCGGAAACGATCGCGGCCGTCATCGTCGAACCAGTGGTCGGCGCCACCCTCGGATCCGTGCCGGCGACCAGCACGTACCTGCCGCGGCTGAAAGAGCTCTGCCACCGACATGGCGCGCTGATCATCTTCGACGAGGTCATGTGTGGCATGGGCCGGGTGGGCACATATCATGCCTGGCAGCACGAGAAGCTGGGTGGTGTGGCGCCCGATCTCCAGACCATCGGGAAAGGCCTGGGCGCCGGGTACCAGCCCATCTCGGCGGTGCTCATCGGACAAGGCGTCTACGACACCTTCCAAGCCGGTGCGGACGGAGCCCAGGCCTTTCTCAGTGGCCATACCTACCAGGGACATGCCATCGGCTGTGCGGCGGCGCTGGCGGTGGCCAGGATCGTGCATCGGGACCAGCTTCTGGCCAATGTCGTGCGAATGGGCGACTTGCTGGAAACCACCCTCCGCCAACAACTGCCGCCCATCTTCACCGAGCGAGGCGGGAGCATCCGTGGTCTGGGCCTGTTCCGCACCGTTGACTTTGGCCATCTAGGCGATGCATTCGGCGCAAAAGCACCGCTGGCCGCCCAGGTGGCCGCCGAAACCCTGGCCCAAGGGGCTGCCGTGTATACGTGCTCGGTGGCGGTGGATGCCATTTTGTTTGCACCGCCCTACATCATTACCCGGGCGGAAATCTTGACCTTGGTGCGCGCCTTCCTCCGAGCACTGGATGTAGTGTTGCAACAACGGGGGAGTGGGAATAGTAATGGAATTGGGAATGCGATTGGGGATGGAATACAGCCTTTGGTAGAGAGTAATGGGATTGGGGACGGCATTGGGGATGGAATGCAGCCTTTGATAGAAAGGCTGTAGGACAATGGACAAATAGATAGAAAGACTATCGGATTCTGAGTCGGGGAGAAACGGACAATAGATGAATCTACTATTAGAGTCAAGTCCGAGAGATAATGTAGAGAGCAGGTGCAATCCACACCCAGCTTTCGTGGGCAACCCAAATCGATTCTTGACAAGTAAATACTTACATCTCTCTTAATACCATCATCTATATCATCTGCCTTCTACCTGATTTAAATTAAATACGAACTGACACTGGGGGCATCGAATACAGTGGCACTGCGGTCAAAAAAAGGCTTAGGCATTCAGAGCCTCGTCTGCCTTGCCTTTACCTGCTGGAAGGCTCAGGCTTGCACACCTATCATACCTAATGTAGCTAAGGCTCTCCTCTACAGAGTATGGAGGACCCAGACCCTACAGAGTAGTCCACAAAGTAGTCTACAGAGTATACAGAGTACCCTATATCTAGGAACTCTTTGCCCTCTCCACCGCAGCCCGTACAGACTTCATACACTCCAGCGCACCTGAGTCAGAGTGAATTAGTGAAGTGAAACTCACGGGTAGGGATCTGGGGTCTGGGTCCGGGAGTCCAAGTCCAATTCCAGGTTCATCGCCCAGGCAAGGAAGGACCAAATCCAAATCCAAGTCCAAGTCCATCGCCAAAACAAAAGGACCAAAGACCAAGACCAAAACCAAGACGATTTATATACCACTTACCCGGAATGTCGCTGTGAACACAGCAGGTGAAGCCCCGACCCTCGAATGGGACGGTGGCCTCGATCCGACTCACGGCGGTGACTTTGCCAGTGGCAATGATCTTATCCATCTTCGGCGCCACGTCGGCTAGAGGAACCCTTCCGGCGGTGCTGGATTGGTGAAATTTTAGTCAGTTACAGTTGCAGGTACAGTAGTGGCGAGCGTTGTGTGAGATAAAGATAGAACCAGAACCAGAACCAGAACCAGAACCGGAACCGGAACCGGAACCGGAACCGGAACCAGAACAGAACTAGAAGGAAATAGAACAAGAACAAGAGTAAGAACAAGAACTAGAACCAGAACTAGAACAGAAATACTCACAGAATCGGAACCGTCTGACCAAAGTCATCGTACCACAAATCCGGGAAGAATTCAGGAATGAAGTCGACGCCATGTTTCTTACACAGCGTCTCGTGCGCCGTGCCAGGCAAGCCGATGAAAGGCACGCCGAAGGTCTTGATGGCCTCGAAACACGCCTCGCCGACCTTCTCGTCGTCCTTGATCATGCGGTACAGCTTGCCGTGAGGCTTGATATGGTTCAGCGCCATGCCCTCGGCGTCCAGCATCGCCTTGAGCGCGCCCACCTGGTACAGCATCTGACAGTACAGGTCGTGGGGGGGAATGTCCATCAATCGCCGGCCGAATCCTTCCTTATCCGGCAGGCCGGGATGTGCGCCTACCACTTTGCCGTGCTGTTTGGCCAGGGCTATCGTCTGCATCATCGTCGTGGGGTCGCCGGCGTGGAAGCCGCATGCGACGTTGGCTTGGTCGGTCAATGGCATCAAGTCTGCGTCGGGGCCCTGGATAGAAGAGCGATTAGACGATAGACAATAGAGGGGGGGATTAGACGATAGACAGTAGAAAAGAGCTCTCTATTAGACAGAGACAACAGAAGAGGGGCCATTAGATAGGCAGATAATAGAAAAGAGGCTCTATTAGACAGACGACAGACAGAGAGACAGGCAGACGGACAGGCAGACGGACAGACAGACGGACAGACAAAACATGACACGATATAGTATATATGACCAGGCTTGAATTGACTCGACTTGACTTACCATTTGCCATTTGCCGTACGCCTCGCCCATGTCGCAGTTGACAAGCACCTGAGGGGCCATATTGTCGATTGACGATTATTGTCGACTATGGTTGGAGTTGTCGTGGTTGTTGTTGTTGCTATTACTCACGTTTCCTCGTCACGAACTGTACTGTCTATCAGTCCAAGACACATACATACGTTCGCACGTACGTAGTCAGGCAGGGTAACTAGAGGCGATGCGATGAAACTGAATCGAAGTGAAGTGAAGTAAATGCAGGAGTAGGAGTAGGAGTACCTAGTCAGTAAGGATGACATGTCAATATGATATACGAGATGGAGATGAAACTAACTTAGTTAACTACAGGTAATAAATAAGGTAGTAGGTAGTAATGTCCCAACCACACGTGCATCAAGCTCGCCCGTGGGGTACAGTATATAGGTATTGACTAGGTAGGTAGTGGTCCGTATCTGTATCTGTATCTAGCTGTATCCTCCACAGTGTTTAAGTCCTGACTCTTACAGCCCCAAACCCAACCCACCAACCCCAGGCCGGTGAGGTGAGGTGCTTCTATCAATTAATTAAATTAGTCCACTGCAGTACAGGGACACTACAGTACACTACATTACAGTACATACTTTTCTGATTCATGGTTAGCGCAAGAACACGAACACAAACCGAACACGAACTCTATCTACCTTAGATAGACGCTCTGAAGTCGACCGAGGCCTGGGACCAGTATCAATCAGTATCAGCACTCGGTATCAGTATCAGTATCAGACATCGGATAACACATACCATTCATTGGCTGGTGTATGGCTGCCTACGGATACGGATACAGATACGGTATAATATGGCATTGGCATTCGCTTGGTTCAGTCGTAGCCTTATCGCCCTCCTCCGTCCCCACCTGAACTATCATCTACTGTAGCCTACCAGGCATAGACAGACAGGACAGTATGGAGCGCGTACATCCGTAGTGACAGACTCTATAATTTAGAGTACGATAGTTCCACCCGAGTCTAGTCTACCAAGTATGGACAGGACAGGACAGTACAGACTCTAGAGTACGATACGTAGTTCCACCCTGGCATGCCAGCCTAACACAATCCACACTAGCGAGCCGTGCTCCCGTTACCGGACTAGACTAGACTGGCCCGGCGGACATCAGATATCAGATAGATACGGAGTACGAATACGTAGATATGGTTGGGGGCATATCAATACATATCGGCCATGTCGTGTCGCAGGTCAAGGCCAAGGGGGAGGAGGGAAACCGAGCCACAGCCATAGATACAGCTATAGCTACAGTGGCACACCAGAAATCGACATCAACATCAAAACCGAGTTCGAATTCGGCAGGCTATCATAGAGTCCCCACAGAGACTGCGGTGGAGCCATGTATGTACGGAGCACATACTAACACTAACTACGAAGTATATCTGCGTAACTGGGTTGGGTTTCGGGGATTTACAATATCCACTGTCCACTGTCCACCAATGCCTACTGTCCACTATCCAGTATCCGTACAGTATCAGTGGTGTCAGTATCAGTATCACTCCTCGGTTTATACCTTCGTTTTATCTTTCGATTGCGAAAGACGGGAGGGAGATTCAACACCACCATCAACACCATCGACACCATCGACGCCAACAACACCAACACTCCCTACAGCCCAAGAATCCCAATCCCAATCCCATTCATTCTCATGAAATTGTATACCGAATAGTCTTTCCCCAGTATCGCAGGCCTATTAATATCTGAACTCTGACCTCGTACGAGAATTGCCAACAACACCATTCGTTATTCGTTACCTGGTGTACAGCTAGTCTAGGCGCGAATACGAATCCACGAAACGAAACAAAACTGAAACCGAAATCCTTCAATGAAAGTCCTCATTGCCAATCGCGGCGAGATCGCTGTTCGCTTGATCAAGGCGTGTAAAGAGGTGAGTTGGCAGACCCGTCACTATTACCCTTACCCTTACTATTGCCATCAATCACCACCATCACCATCACCATCACCATCACCATCACCTCACCCTCTACAGTAATGAAAAAGTAAACTGTGCTGATCCGTCCTTCTCATCAGCTGGGCTTTCATTCAACTGCCATATATTCCGACGAGGATGGTATGTGCCCCGAACCGAAAAGAGGTTCCTGCAGGCGCTCGTGGCTGACGGGATATTGTTGTGACTTTAGCCTCGGCCTTACATGTCAAACTCGCCGATGCGGCCGTGTCGTTGAACAACCAAGGCTCGGCAGCCTATCTAGACAGGTATAGTAGTGTATAGCCCACCGTCGTTGGGGAGGACTGAAACCGAAAACCATCAGCCATCGAATTGTGAGCATTTGTCAAGAACATGCCATTGAAGCGGTTATCCCAGGATACGGTACATGTCTCTGCGAGTACTGAACACGTCCACACTAACCCCAATGGCAGGGTTTCTGAGCGAAAACACCGACTTTGTCCAACTCTTGGCCCAATCCAATGTCGTGTTCGTGGGGCCAACCGCCGACACCATCAGGGCGTTTGGTTTGAAGCATAGCGCCAGAGAGCTTGCCGTGGGTGCAGATGTAAGAGGATAGGAGCAGTCGAGAAAACCTCCCCAGTCAATTCTGACCTGACGTCCTCCTCAGGTCCCAATCGTACCCGGAACGGCCATCATTTCGACCACGGAGGAGGCCTTTGCTGAGGCCGAGAGAGTGGGCTATCCTGTGAGCCGCGGGAGACCCGTCGATTTTCACTTCCTGGCTCACCACGATGTAGGTCATGGTCAAAGCCACCGCTGGCGGCGGAGGTATGGGACTTCAGGTTTGTCGGTCGTCTGCCGAATTGCATGGTGCCGTGGCGACAGTCCGTAGCCGAGGCCAAGCTCTGTTCAAAGATGCCGGCTTCTTCTTGGAGAAATTCGTCGAGAATGGAAGGTAGGAGCATCCATCATCTGTCCCGGGATGGAAATAATGACAACTGACCACTCGTGGCGGTAGACATATCGAAGGCCAGATATTCGGCAACGGCACGGGCGAAATCTTGTGGTTCGGTGAGAGGGAATGCTCCATCCAAAGACGGCACCAAAAGGTGCTAGAGGAATCCCCCAGCCCCTATGTCATCAAGCACCCTGAACTCCGGGACAAGTTGAAACAAGCGTCCATAGCTCTTGCAGCCTCGATCAAGTACAGGTCGGTCGGCACCGTCGAGTTCTTGGTCGATGACGAGACGGGGGACTTCTACTTCCTCGAAATGAATACCAGGCTCCAGGTAGGACGGCTGCTTCACCAAGATCATCAGGGGTTGGCTGCTGACAGTCCACCGCTCTAGGTCGAGCACGGCGTGACTGAACTGGTCTATAGTGTCGATTTGGTCCAGTTGATGCTGTTGCAGGCGCAGGCTGAGGTCTTGGGTCACGTCGGCCTCACTGGCTCTGACCTGAAGCGCTTCGAGCGGACGGCGCCCTCCGGCCATGCGATTGAAGTGCGAGTTTATGCCGAAAATCCAGCAAACAATTTCCGACCGGCACCGGGAATGCTGACAAACGTCGAGTTTCCTGAGGGCGAGGGAATCCGCGCGGATTCCTGGGTTGAGAGTGGCACTCCCATCACCCCTTCATTCGGTACCTCATCCTGTCCGTATCGACGTAGCTCTTATGTTCTTAACCACTTGTTCCCCCAGATCCACTGCTCGCCAAATTGATGGTGCATTCCAGAACGCGCAAAGAGAGCTTGCGATTGATGTCAAGTGCCTTATCAAGCACCGTGCTGTGCGGACCACCTACCAACATTGACTTTTTGGGAGCAGTCATCGTCAACAAAGGTAGCTTGCCACATGTCTTGAGTCGCTAGAGTGTCGTGGACTGACCGAGACGTGTGTGAAGATGTTCAGTCCGGATACACGACCACCAACTTACTGGAGACTCGTTTCCTTTATCAGCCCTTTGCCATCCAGTTCGAGGATGGGGGCATGTACACAACGGTACAAGACCTGCCTGGTCGTCCGGGCTTCTCGAACGGTATTCCTGTGTCCGGGCCCATGGACAGCGTCTCCTTCCGCAGTGAGTTTTGAACACCACCACCTCGCCGCAAGCTGCTAACTTGTACAGTCGCCAATATGCTGGTTGGAAATGAGGAATGTGTAGAAGCACTCGAAATCACACATGCCGGTCCTCGTTTCGTCATCCACGGCGGTGCCATAATCGCGCTGTGTGGTGCCGATTTCGACTTCACCATCAACGGCCAGAAAGCCGCCATGTGGACAAGACATGTCGTTCCCGCAGATTCGCAGCTTGTCATTGGCAGTCGCACGGGAGCGGGATGTCGTGTATATCTGGCTATTCGTGGAGGACTTCCGAACGTGTAAGTGACATCGACAAAGTCCTAGAAACACGAAGTTGACATAGACAGTGGAAGCTATCTTGGCTCGAAAAGTACCACTCCGACACTGAACTGGGGTGGCTATCAGGTGAGTCTTCCGGTCCAGCCCCTATATACATTAGCATTCCTTCAGCTGATGGCAGCAAGGGACGCACCATACGATCCGGAGATTTTCTTGCCCTCCAGAAGCAACCCGCAGATTGGCTGGCCACGTCGATCTATACCCTGCCAGAGCAGCTAAGACCGAACCTCCGACATATCCACATGGTCAACACGCTGCCAGGCCCGTATGACTCGGAGGAATTCATCAGCCCCGACAGCAGACCATCATTTTATGACGCCGTGTGGAAGGTGGCATTCAACTCAAGCCGCACTGGGATCCGGCTGGAAGGCCCTCCTCCACCGTGGTCTCGAGCCCACGGCGGTGAAGGAGGTAGTCATCCCAGCAACATGCTCGGCTATGGATATCCCATTGGCGGACTTAGCTTCACCGGGGACTCGGCTGTCGTCTTTTCGGCCGACGCACCGGGTCAGAGTGGGTTCATCTGTGTTCAAACAGTGATATCAAGTCAGCTCTGGAAACTGGGCCAACTCGCACCCGGCGACGAGGTGAGATTCTTTCCCTGCTCGTGGGAGGGAGCTTGGACGTTTGAAAGAGGACTGGAAGAAATGCTGAGCAGCGTACGGTGCTCAATTCAAGCTCAATACGCATCAGTCGGCGACGGTTGGGTTCTGCCGATCGTCAAACCAGAGCTGGGAACATCCGTGTTATACGAACGCCCGGTGGAGAACGCGACGGGACTGCCGCGGCTTGTCATCCGCCAAAGCGGTGACCGAGGATTGCTTTGCGACTATGGAAGTCAGAGGTTTGACCTGAATTTTCGAGCTCGTGCACAGAAATTGATCATGGAGGTCCGCCATCGGACACCTCGTGGGCTCCTTCCAGCCTGTCGTCCTCATACCAACAGCGTCTTAATCCTGTTTGACCCTGCCGTTATCGACCAGAGCACGGCGGTGTCAACATTGATCAAGCTCGAAGCAGCTCTGGAAGATATTCGAAAGTTCGAAATTCCGAGCCGGATCTTTCATCTTCCATTGTTGTTTGATGCGGAAGAGTGCATGCAGGCCACCGAAAGGTACATGAAGACACAACGACCTTATGCGACATATTTGCCGGACAACATTGACTTCATCCGGCGAAACAACGGCCTGAAAACACGGCACGATGTCTTGAAATCGGTCGTGGACGTGCCTTTTATAGTTCTGACGTCGGGTGGTCTCATGGGTCTTCCTATTTGTGTCCAAATTGATCCCCGTCTGCGCTTCACAGTACCCAAGACGAATCCGTCAAGAACAACAACCCCTGCCGGTGCATTGGGAACTGGAGGCATGACATCCAGCATCTATCCGGTCGAGTCGTAAGTGATCCGCAGTCGCCCCCAAATATCTGCCGTTACTAATTTGAAATGCCAGGCCGGGTGGTTATCTGTAAGTTTACTGTTCGCTGTATCGCTGTGGAATCAGCGTTGACATCGAATGGCAGTCTCTGGGGAATAACCATTCCAGGTTGCCCATTTGACACTTTTGGAAGAAAACCAGGCTTCTCCCCGACGAAACCTTGGCTTTTTGAACCCTTTGACCGTATCATCTTCCACAGCGTCTCGCGTACCGAGTTTGATGACATCAATCGTCGTTTCCAAGCTGGCCTGTACACAATCCCGGTGGATGATGGCGTGTTTGACCTCGGAACATACAATGATCTGGTAGATGAGACGCGAGAAGAGGTAGCTGAGATCCAGAGCCGTCAGCAACGATGTGCTGCTGTCGAGTTGGAGAAGTCTGTGCTCTCGTCTCCGGGGTTAGTAGTCAAAGTTGCTGACGAGGTTGACAGGGAGAACGAACTGCTGCGTCGCTGGACCCTGGAAAAAGAAGCGGAACGGGCTCGAAAGGCTGCGGATGATAAGACCAAGCCAAGGGATCAGGATGGTATGTTGACATGAACAGGTTCAAGCCTGCCAGCACGCACAGAACTGATGATCGAGACAGACTCCAAGTTCACACGCGTCATTGCGACCATCAATGCCAGAGTCTGGAAAGTGGTCGCTGACGTGGAAACCACGGTCAAAGCCGACGCAGTGATACTAATCCTCGAGGCCATGAAGATGGAAATCTCGGTCAAATCCCCACCAGATAGTGAAGCCTATCAGCTTCTCAAGCTGATGGCCAAGGAGGGTGACATGGTGAGCCCTGGGGACGTGCTTGCACTGCTGGAACCGGTAAGATAGCGAAGCAGGAAGGCACTGAAGTCCTTCAGGCTATAAATAGTGTTTCCGACCGTACAAAATCTTGGTCGGCCGTGTCGTTCGGCCGCCACGTTTCTTCTCCAGTCGAATGGAAACGGTCCATGTCTGCCCAGATGGCTTCAAAAGAATCATTCATCACATCTCTCGTCTTTGACGGATACTCTGCCGCGAGAAGCCTACCTTTCTTGATGATGCAATTGCGCTGCTGCCCGTCGATTGCTTCATGAGCTGCCACAGATAGTGGAAGGGACAAGGAAGAGTCTGGACCACATCCGATAGGCATAGAGTCCATGAGACAAATCAGGCTGTTGACTGCGAACTGGACCCGAGGTGAGGTCCGGGCGTCAAGGCAGACGCGTCGTTGTAACAGGATATGGGCTGTCCAGTAATAGCACTTGCTCAGGGTCTCCAGATGCGATACTGACGGATGCAGAGTGGCCACGTCGTTCGCGAGTTGTTTCGACCCATATATCCTCAAGGCTGTCTCAATCTCGTACGCCTTTGCCATTTTGTCCTGACTGTAAAGATCCCGCTCAGGATCAGAGGCCAGGTGAGAGATTTCTGCCAAGAAGCAAAAGAGCTGAGGCGGACAACCTGTCATTTCTTGAAGTGACGGACGAGAAATATCCCCTCCAGCGTCGTTTGGATGGAAAAGCCAGAAGTCCGGAAGTAACAGAGACCGCTGATACCATAGCAAAGAGCTTACAATATCCACAAATGCTACGCGGAAGACGAGCATCCTTCCGATAAAGGAGTCTGGTCTCTCTTTCAACCACCCCAACTCCCTGAGAAGATTAACCGCGCATCGAAGGTGTGTCTTGGTAGCTGAGCTTCCAGCCATCATCTCAATGGTGAATTGCAAAGCTATCGCTGCCAGTATCTCCAGCCTCTTGGCAGATGCCAAAGGCGTGGTTGAGAGCGACATCAGGTCATCCGATTGGGAATGGTCACCCAGAAGGGAGCCGAGACTTTCCCGTAGCGTTCTCAGTGCCCGTGATTGGCGTGACAAGGCTAGGGAGTCCGGGATTCTACCACGATGGCTCATATATCTCGTCGACACGGATAGAACAGTATCCATCTGCACAGGCGAAGGATTAGCCGTCCCATCTAGCCATCATGGGCGAGGCTCATGATTTGGGCGTTGATTTGATCTCGTCCCAGAGTGTATCCCTGGTTTCCGGAAGGTGGAACTTACGAGGACCGGAGAGGTCAATGCAAGCGCTGCCAGCTCACGGTAGCCGCTTCCAGGACCATCAGAAGCCGGGATTATTCGTGACACACATTGGAAAACTTGCCGGTGGGTAAATGTTAGTAAATTGCACATTTCGCAAGGCCAAGACTTACAAAAAATGTACGCAATACGTTCCCCAGGCGTCTTGCAGAGATCGAGACCAAAGGGCCCCGGCAGACCGAAGTTGTAGTCCCAAAGCTCGGAAGAGTCCGGTGTTATTTGGCGGTGAGGCACAAGTTCTTGGCCACCATCTTCACCGGCGTCTTCCGCGCCTGCATCATCGTAAAGCGGCGTAGGAAGGACCGATACCAGGTCAATAGAGTCGACTTGAGGCCCTTTCCCTGCGTCAATTATGCGTTGCTCGAATGGTGCATCGACCGAGTCGGGCCCAGGCAGCCGGAAAGTGTCACCTTGGCGATAAGGGGGGCTGGAATCCTGAGGCGGCCCAGAGGATTCCCAGTGCGTGGTACGTTGAGGCTGGGATCTGGAACGCTTGTCGCTAGGCAGCTGGTGGGAACTTATCCAGCGAAGCTCGCGTGTGGAAGTGCACTCGATGCCACGGCGCACACATCTGGCACAGCGAGGACGATTCTCGTCGCACTTACGGTGTTGTTGTCGGCATTGAAGACAGCCTGACCCATTAATGCCTTGCGCCACAAATAGTCACTTGTAGACCACACACCTTTGCGAGACCGTCGATCACTCATAACGTACTGGCTCCCTGGTGGACTGCCACACGTTTCCCGCAGGCAAACAGGATGTTTCCAGGCTGGGAATAGTCCTGGTCTTGGAAATGCTAAGGCAAGGAGGCGTCGAGACAGTGTGCAGGCATTGTCAGGAAGTAGCCTCGGGGCTAGCAATAGTAGGCTTGAGGTGCATGAGATGGTGAAGCTGCCATCTCCATCTTCTACTGAAGGTGGTGCAGATAGGAAGAAGTATCCGTATCCGTATAGAGGTCGGCTACCTTATCATGCTGGGTCCCTTGGCCACGAGATGCCCATACTTTCTTCTCCAGCCTGCCATGCTCCACCAATACCATAGGTACCCCGTACTCCGTATTCCGTAGGTACTATGGATAAGGTACGTAGTAAGGTATCCGTACTCTGTATCCGTACATGTCACTTTGTTTCATTACCTCGCACCCCGTACAAGGTTGCCCTTCCACACCGGTCACACTCCTCTGGATATCTACTTGGACAGGCAGTCCGTACGAATCGAACTTCTCTGTATCTGTATTCATGTGAATCTGATGTGGCAGATCTACTACTCCGTACCTGGCGGCACCCTCGAAAGGATGCAACGCGATTCGACAGTTAGGGGACAGGGGTGTCCTAGTAAGTGAGCAGCAAGCGCTTCGGCCTGGGGGCAGTGTCGCACGTTCGGTTACACTAGGCCTAAGGCTGAGCTGTGGCTAAGCAATCCAAGCCAGAAGGTCTTATCTCCATCACCTCAGCTTCTGCCGAGTTCTTCAGCCTCACCGCGGCGACATACTGTATGACACCGGCTGTTCATGCGTCGAATCCACATACAGAGATTGCATGACCGCATGTGTTCTCTTATATTTACTATACAACAGCGATGGAAGTGATCGGGCTAGTTGGCACCGTGCTCGGCGTCATTGACGTGGCGACGCGATGCATATCGTCCCTGGTGGAATTGCGCCAGCGGATGAAGGCGGCCAGCAGCACCGTGGAATTTCTCTCGTCCCAGTTGGTCACAGTCCGAGCGGCGCTCGGTCAGATCCACAGCTTGATCGAGGAATCCCTGAATCAAGACGAACAACATTACCAGCTCACGTTAGATCTCGGCGTCGCCATCAACTGTTGCAACCTTCTGATCCGCCTGCTGGACGAGCAGATCAGCAGAATCCAATACGGCGATGATGACGAGCCCACTTTCAACAGCAAGGTCAATCTGATCCTCGAAAGCAAGGGCATTGAACAATGTCTCACTCGACTCGATCGACAGATCAATGCTCTCAATCTGCTCATCACTACCTTCCAGTGCCGAACCCCGATGGAGCAGCACAGGGTTTTGCATGAGCGACAGTCACGTAAGGTCTTTGACCAGATCAAGGATGATTCTTCTTCGTTGATTGTCCTGTGTGATTCTGCGTCGTTTGTTACCCGACGAACCAAGACGACCACCGCCACCTCCAAGTTCTCCATGAACTTTATCTTCGATGCCGAGATCCTTCAGGCCAAAGCATACAAGAGTACGATGCGATCGTTGATGAGGAGAGCACGAAATCAACCTGGCTCGGCCTCTTCTACTACGCCGGCCGGTTTTCATCTTGATTCGGCTTCGGCGACAGCGGCAAAATGGCCCTTTGCAGGAAGGAATGTCCGGATATCCGCTCCTATGAATGCCCACCATATGCAACACGTCGTCTATGACGACGACACCGGCCAATATTCAGTGAGTGCAGAAATATACCAACCCCCCCCTTGGGCCCGTTCCATGTACAAAATGTACCGAATGTACATAGTGTTATTGATTCAAGAAGCTGACGCGTGTCATCCTTATCCAGGGCCTTCCGACGGAATGGCAAAAGTTGCTCGCCGTTAGCGATGTGGGCGAGCACGACAGACAGCAGCTCGAGGAATGGATTGAAAAAGAAAGAAGAAATTCGACGTCATATGAATTTCCACGGCCTGCCCCAGCACCACCCTTCTGACCAGCATAGCATGGCCGATTCAGACCGCTCGGGGTCCATAACGGACAGCACTGGCACCTGCCCGCAGCACTTGGGTACGAATTGGGGACAACGCCGTACAGAGACCAAACATGGATACCATCAGGCCGAGATCTGTGAGAACGCGAATCTGGATCTTAAAAACGAATCTCAGTTGCAGGAAGCGAACTGCAAATGCGTTGTTTGATTGTGCCTAGCTAAGAGAGATCCGGAGGGTGGTTGGTAAAAGACGTTAATTATCGGTCGGGTTCATTCCATTCCACCCAATTCCACCAAAAATGCAAAAACAATCGACAGTCAATACAAAAACGAAAAAAACAATCAACGGTCAATACAAAAATGCAAAAACAATCGACAGTCAGGATTCCCAAATGGTCACCCACTTCAGTACTAACTGACCGGCATCTGGCTTAAGTACGGCTGAGCGAACGGGAAGCCCTGTTTTCCAGATCCTATGGTCGATTGCGGAAGGGATTGTGGAGAATGAAAATATGAATCCTGAATTAATGTGCGGCTGGTGGATAGCTAGGTATATATATTGGCACTCGCGCGGAGCATTGGGATTAATTTGTCAACCGCAGGGATCTGAATGCTCCGCCTTAGAGTGGTTCTCCCCCGTACGGTACAGCATGTGCTGCCAGTGTGTACCTTATATGGCACCTAGTATGGCATGCTAGAGCATCGATGGCCCATCAATCTTTCAAATTGCATGTGCGGTCGACTTGATCACCTATTAGTCGCTTACGAGGGGTTTAGGCTCGCAGCGCCCTACTAATCGATATCCCGCACAGCACACTGGCAGTGCAAGGCGTTCTTGTCCTCGCTTCTTGTCCTGGTTCCGGTCCTGGTCCCCGTCCCGGCTGGACATGCCTGAAGCAGCACCAGTCCACACTACTCGACCGCATCGTCGACAACCCACCTCGACTCCTGCCGTATAGTGCACAATCACATACTCCATCCTCCCACTCCCATACTTCGGACGGCGGACACCTGCGTCGGGTTGCAGCAATAAGGCAATCAACCGCGAGCCTAAGCCACTCGACTGATTAACCGACTTTCTCGGCGGTGTCATTGGGCGCAGGCCACTCACTACCACTAACATGTGGTGCGCCCAGCTCCGCCCGCGTTATCTGCCTCCTGGCGCGACGTGATCAGGAAGATAGATGGGCATATGTGGTAGGTACTAAGATGGAGATAGGGATTGGTGTTGATGGAGATATAGATAGTAGACAGGGTCCCCTTTTTGGACTGTCCACACTCTCTGAGAGCTTTTACTATAGCAAACTTGGGTTGACGTCTTCATTTATTAGTGTCTACCTAGTCCTCTTCCTTGGGTCTTCCACCTTCATCTACAATAGGATTTCTACTGCTGAACAACCACTAGCACGACCTCGCCGAGTCCGCCAATCATAGTCTGGACAGCCTGAGGCTGAGACTTCTGGCCAAGGGACGCGAACCGCACCATCGACTCGTCCAGCACGATTTCAAATCTCGACCGTTGGGACTCGCAACCATGGGCCGTGGTAGGACCCTCGAGTACCCCAAGACCGCGATCAACAAGGTCAACCGGTATAACCAGCGAGGTGGGTACTTCCCAAGTACCAGTCCATGTCCCATGTTCAATACCATATCAGTTCTCACGTCGCAGGTCTGCTGTACTAAAGCTGACGGCTCCCATAGCCACATATGACCTAGAACAGATCCACAGCATCATCAACACCAGCAGCGTCGTGCACGTCTCGTTCAACACGCCCGACCCAAACAACCCGTTCCCCGTGACGCTGCCGATGGTCGGCGTGGCGGCCAGCTATGAACATCCATCAGCCTCACTGGGCGAACCGCTCGACATCTATCTGCACGGCTACGTGAGCAGTCGGCTGATGAACCTTTCGCGGGATGCCAACGCCAACGCCAACGCCAACGCCGACGCCGCCTCCACACCACCCACACCCACACCCACACCGACAGGTCTGCCAGTGACCATCTCAGCGACCAAGATCGACGGGCTCATCCTCACTCTGACGCCCAACACACACGACATCAACTACCGCTCGGCCGTGGTGTACGGGTACGCGACCATTGTGACCGACGTGGCCGAGAAGCTGTGGGCCATGGAGCAAGTGACCAATTCGGTGGTGCGGGACCGCTGGCGGTTCACGCGACTGCCGCCCGACAACGCCGAGATGCAGAGCACCTCGATCCTGCGCGTCTCCGTCGTCGGGGGCAGTGGCAAGATCCGCGTCGGCGGCCCGCGCGACGAACAGAAGGATTTGGTGCGTGACGACCTCCGCGACACCGTCTGGACCGGCGTCGTGCCGGTCTATGAGCATCTCGGCGAGCCTGTTCCGCACAAGGAAAACAGGGTCAAGGACGTCCCCGCCCACGTCTTGGAGTATGTCAAGGACACCAGAGAGGCGAATGCAAAGTACGCGGCCGACGCGACTGTCGACCAGTCCCAGGACTGATGGACTGGAGATCGTCTCCCGCTTGACAGGGCTGGATCTGGGTTTTGTGACGTTGAAGTTGCGCCGTGTGGTTGGACGAGCCGGCTTGATGGTTGGATTCCACGTGTCTCATTCATTGCCATTGCCCTTGCGGGTTTTTTTATGTCAAGAATGAATGTTTGGTAGGCCCGGCACCTAGAGCTCCAGTTGATGATGAAAGCTGCAATCGCTGAACGGAGAAATGGCGATAGACTATGCCTTATGTCCAATCATGACTAGTATCATCCCTTGGTTCTCCCTTGATATCTGCGACAAAATGCCTTGTTTCTGCATGGACCCTCCATCCGGCTGGGGGGCCAACCGTCCCTCTTCCCTCTTCCGTGCGGCAGGATTGCAAAGCAAGGGGGCCCGGGTTACCTAGCCACGGGTCCGTTTCCGTGGTTAATCTTCTCGAAGGACGCAGGACATTGGAGCTCCCCGCCTGTCGTGCAACGTGACAAACGGGATATGCAGACTTGACCATTGTTGAATGCCAGCCAGCGTGGCCCACCCTCTGCGCTGTATGTGTACCTGTCGACTCGTACTCGTACAGTAGGACAATGCTTTGGGCCACCCTCGAGCAAAAAAACGCCGGCCGCGGCCTCAGCGGATCAACCCGAGGAATGGGGACACACACACACACACACACACACACACACACACATGCGTCCGGCCTTGTGAGGCGAAGCAATGCCCGGCATGCATGGGTGTCAAGGTCCAAGTTTCAGGTGGCCGCAGGTTGCTCATTGACCAGTCTTGTTGTCAACCCTGCCATGAACCCCGGTGGCTTCACATTCCTGCGTCGCTTGTTGTGTGAGGGATGGGAGCATCTGCCGGTCCTATAGATAGGGCGATCTCGATCCACCGACCAGAGGTGACAATCTCGGAGTGTTTGGCGTAGACAGATAAAACTGCGACAGAGGTGCTAGACATGGGCATGCTCTTGTCTCGTGGCGGGACAATGAACTTCAACTTGACATTGAAGGGCTCCGCCAACCTTCATGCTGCCTTGCTTTCAGAGTGCCCTCCATCGCCATCTCTGACCATGGCATGAACCTCATTCCTGGAATACTCGTCACCATCACGGCCGACACTCGTCGTCTCGTGTGGTCTAACTCTCGAACTCGTTTGTCACTCATTTGCAGCTTTCGTCGACTCAAACACTCATTACTGATCTTCTCGGCAAACGACTGCCCTTCTCCATCACGCTTCTTTTTCCTGCCACTGTATATCTTGTTGAAACAGACTTGCACATACCATCGATGACATCTTCCCACTAAAAATCCACCAATGCACCCGAGCCAGAACCTGCGCCTGTATTCGTCCATGGTCTCTTTGCACGATCTCAAGGCCGTGACAATGAAGAAGTTTCGCTCCGGACGGAGATGGCTCAAGGAAAAGCTACATCGAACCTGCTCGGAAGTGCCGCAGGAGAGAAAGATCGTCATTGTATGTTGCTGCCAGACATCACCAAAGACAAATCTGATTTTGCCTCTAGGGACCACCGACCAACTTTCGCCGCGAGGACATCACTCTCGGTACTGACGTCGATGGGTATGGATGGTGAATTCCTGCTTCTGATGAGACAACCCAGGCTGATACATGACCGTGCAGAAACGCCATCCTCATCGAGCGGGCTCGAGAGGATGCCCAAGCAATGCACCGAGCAGCCCAAATGCAGCGTTTGAGCCGCCCTGCTTGAAGAGACAAAAGTGCCTAAGGATTGGTTCAGTGCTACTCGCCATGAATGAAGGAAGGGGGGCTGAATAATGGATATTGACACATACGCTTGAGATTTGCCTATTCGTCGCTTGCTTTGGAGAAGTATCTGCTGCTGCATGGCATCGAACAAGGGGCACACTGTGGATAGGACGAAGGCACGAATGCCTAGGAGCGGAATCAGAGTATCAGATTATGAACATCGGCACTTCTTCCAGCCGTGACTGCTTGTCTTGCTCCACCGACTTGCGCTTCAAGAATCCATTCTGGTTTGGTCGTGTTGTCGGCCGCAGCCTGCGTGGCCTAAACTCGTCCCTCCCATTCTCAGAGAGAACGGGTTCGCCGTCCTGTCCGGACGAAGAGGCTGAAGGATGCTCTTTGGAAGACTCCCCAGTTCTTCGGTGAATAGCCAGGCTACGTGCACTTCCAGAGGTTTCACTGCTCAGGACGTGAGAAGTCGACTGAGCATGGCCAGTCTTGCTCTCACTCCCATTTCTGGTCTGATCCCCCTCGTCCTCGTCTGCCTCATCCTTGATAGAATGACCGCCACTTTGGATCCTGGTAAAGCCCATCCCGGCCTTGGTCTTGCTCGACATCCTCTCCAGGCCAATCAAGGAAGTCTTCTGCAGGCCACCGCTTGCCATGAGCGGAGCAAGACGTGTGCCAGACCACAAATCGATCACTTTGTCTTCTTCTTCCTCTACCTCTTCCTCCTCTGCCTCTGTAGATGTCGGCCCCATTACCTGCTGCAGTGTCTCCTTTTGCCTCTTCTGCAACGCCAGCTTCTGGAGTCGATTCTTTGCCTCCTTCGACATAGGCGAGGTTGGTTCGGGTAGAGCTTTTGGCGCCGCTTCACGTGCTTGCTTGACTAGTCTCTTGTACTCGGCATGATGTAGATGGGCGGTATAAGTTTGAGCAATGGTTTGAAACTCGTCTTCCACCATGATGTATATGTCGTCGCCATCGTACCCCTCTCGCATGGACCTGCCGCGTCCGTCAGCACGATTCACTGTGGTGGCCGCGTACCACTCACTCGAAAGATAAGGGTGGCGGTCGGAGTGGAGAGGAAGAAGGCGATTTCGCTACATTGTGTCAGTTTCAGCCTTCTTGTTGTCTGCTCCATTGTAACTCACGCCCAGTGCCTCTCTTCGGGGTGATTTGTGGCTGACGCCCGGGGAGCAGGGCGTCTTCTTCCCCGACCGTTGGCTCCTCCATATCTAGGGATGAGGCTCTCTCAGGCTTCGGCCGTGGTGTCTGAGCCACTCGTTGCCTCTTCGCTGGGGGCGCCTTGTCGACGGCCCAGGGCAAACGGCGAGCCATCGTGTTTTGTTGAAGGGATCGCTACGTTAGAAGCTCAAGGGGGATCAGCGCGACGTGGGTACTGTGCTTCAGTATTCACTTCATGCATGTCTGCCTGGAGAAATCAAAGTGCAAGGCAGTAGGTGGGTATCTGCAGAGCGCAATGCTAGTATGTCTGGTTAAAGGAATTCAGGAACAAAGGCACAAGGTGCTGCCTCAAGTTTGACCAAGAAACTTCCGAGGCTGAGTACATAGGTACCCCGCTACTTCGGCCATTTCCAAGCACATTATAGACTGTCTGAAGACGTCAAACGATGCATTCAGCAGGATAGAGAAATTCAGACGACGTGAAAGGCACGATTAGGAGCATAACTTTGAGCTCTATGGTTTCTGTAGTAAAAATCTGTCTTCATGGTCTTTCGCAGCCTGCCAGCCAGGGGTATCATTTTGCGATTCTTTTTCATAACTGCATTTCCATGTGCAAGCCGCCCTTCCGTTGTCCCGTACTCCATAGCCTTGAAATAATCCCAGAATGGCCGATTAGAGAGTTGGATCGTACTCGTAGACGGAACTCTCTGCCGTGTCCAACTCTCTGCTGTCCCAGTAAAGCTTCTCTAGCTACCTGCGCTGAGGCCACTATACCTCGCCCGGCTTCTTGGAGTTGCAACTGACAATCTTGACCTTGTCTGCATGGAACTCTTGACCACCATCGCTCTTGAATCTCACATCCTTGACGAGGAATGTCCACACATCATCGCAAAAACGGTAGGTCTCCAGATGGCCCTGTCGCTGGTGTCAGCTACCAGACTGCAGTGCAGAACTTCCGAGACTGACCTTGAAAGTAAGTCTTGATTTGACCTTCTCTGCCAGTGTCTCAGCTATAGCGCGATCGAAGTTGCTCAAAATCTTCATCGCCAACTGCGGTTCGATCCGACCATCGTTGATCAGATCGTCGATAGTGTCGATGAGCGCTTCGCCGATACTGCAAGAGGCGTCAACATTTAAACAGGCCACGGCCACGACAACACCAAGAATTTGGTACGGAGTAAGACTAGGCGCTCCAACAGTCACAGAATCTCACAGGATAACCTACCTGCTGCCCCGGTAGAGTTCGTAGAATTGTTGAGGCGCCGTCGCCATCTTGTCCACCCTTGATCAGCCGCTGATGACTTGGACCCGGGAGATGCGCCGGATGTCAGGACTAGCTGAAGCGATAGGGAGGGACGGGGTTGTGAAGGAGATGAAGTTGGTGTCAGGAGGGCGTTGGGTAAGGACGTTAGTGAGGTGCGGCGTACGGAGTACAGCCTGTGAATGCCGAACCATCCAATTAGGTGCCTTGACATTGGCTGGAGCCTCATGTCCGGCAGGGCTTCCTTAGGCGTTGTCCGATTGGGTGGCCCTGCGATCCCTGGGTGCACCATTACTTCATAGCACCAACAGCAAATGAACTCCAAACTCCGCACCACGACATCACTGTCTCGACTTTATGGATGCTCAATACTAAGAAAGTACCTACCAGGTATCATTGTGGGCACCCTACAAGCTGCTTACTTGACAAGTCATTTTGTTCACCTCACTACTGAACAACGCCATGAGCAGTATACCTCTGACTGTATCCCGCACCGCAGTACTTCGCCAGTATTCAGCCGTCTCTTTGACGTTTACTTCGAGACTACAACGATGCCAACGATGCGCTTCCACCACGACCTCCCAAACTCCTTCCGACAATAAATCTGCCTCCACGTCTGAGTCGGCAGCAAAGCAAGATCGACTGGAGAAACTCAAGAAAGCGTACAAGAGCATGGCAGAGGCAGATGAAGAGATGCGCAAAGCCATGGAAAATCTGGCTGGTGATGGCGGAGAGGCTGGACTCGAACTGGAAGATGGAAAAGCTGTCTCTATGAAAAGAGGTGTTCGAGAGAACATGTTCAGGTACATCTGAGACAAGGGACAACCAGATCACGGACACCACGGACGAACAGAGTTATGGGATAACCAAGATGCCATTCAGGGGTATCATGCGCTTGAAAACAAGGTGGACCACTCCCAAGTTGATCAACATAAGGGGCATACGACTCAGACACTCTCCTTGTCGTACAGATCATTGATGTCATGCACCAGCTCCTGCACCGAACTGCCTCCTGGACAGTCATACCATTTGCCGCCGTCGCGTATACATCTTATCTTGCCAGCCAGTCGCACTGTGCAGCTCTTTGTGACGTTGTTCTCCTGGCTCCTCAGAATGCTCTCTCGTAGCAAGCCGACACCCTCTCCTTCCTCACTGATGCAAGAATTGAGCTTTTGAAAGTCAACGCCATGTTCCAGGGCGCAGTCCTCGACCAAATCTCGCTTGGGGATATCCTGGTAATCGGAGATCATGCAATTGGCAAACCCCAGCCAGACCTTGACATCGGTGGATATTGTCGCAGCGCAGAGGAGGATGACGTTACCGAGGCATTCGCCGGGGCCGTGTAAACAGGTCACCGCATCGGAATGAGGATCAATACTAAAGAGTGTCAGCGAGGGCAGGAATCAGTCGTAGTTGAATTCTCACCTTCCAAGAAATGACATTGTAAAGTTGACTTTATCGCTGACTTGTTCCATCGTTGGCACGACCAATTCACGCAGACAGTCTCGTGCGTCGGGGCATTTGGACATGATATGGATCTCCAGCGGCACTGTATCTCTATCTCCTAGCTCGTCGAGCTCGGCCGTCCGATGCGGCGACAAGCCAGGGTTATAGTGGTGGTGGCAGACAAACGTGGCGCGAAACAACCATAGCGTCGCCAGTAATGTGAGGACGGCGGGTAAGACGCGTGTCACCAAGTAGTTCCTTTGAGGTCGCGACTCGGGGTCGGGTCGTTTTCTGCCATACTCGACATGCCGGTATGAGGATGCCTTCTCGTAGACGGGGAGGGGCTTTCCGGGTTCCATAGCGAGGGCGTCTTAGTACTGGAGACCGGTGAACCGTCCCAAAGTGAATCAGTCAAAGTCGAAGTCGAGCACAGGCATGGACAAAATATGTTGAACTGGAACTGGTGTCTCAAGCGTCAAAGTCTTGTCTTGTCGGATGAACACATGTAGTATGGAGGTATGGAGGGTGTATGCCTCATCACCAATGGATGTGTTATTACACTGGCAGGCGGCATTACAACCACTGGCTTGGCGTACCTAACCTACCACTACTACTATAATGTACAGTAGGGGTTTAAAGTGCCGCCGCTTTAAGTACGAGAGGAGAGGTAAGTGAATAAAAAAGCGGCACGGGCCAGGCGTAAGGCTAGGTGCCAAAATAGATAGCCGGCTTATAAGGCTACTATCTCTAGACATAGAATTTATATAACGAGAGAGGCCGTAGAGCTGAAGGTCTCCCTAATCCTGTTAGAATAGTAGTTGGATAAGCCGCTATCGATTCTGGCACCCACCCTAAGCTGAAATCCTTCGCGCCATGACGCCAAGGGTGCAATATACGGAGTATACCTTACACCTTGCTTAGCCCAGTAGAGTCCCTAGGTATTGATAGTGATTGGCTATCTGGGTCAACCTCCAGCAAGACTTCTTCTTGAAGGTAAGGTCGGCACGCCCTCTAGAAATTTCTGTTCCCTCTGAATTTGCTGTAACGAGATAGGCCGAATGACCGGGCTTGACAGCATTAGATGGTGAATTGCATCACCGTGAGACTTGATAACAGCTACATCCAGCTGTTCCTGAACAGAATCGAGTCTGCAACAGTCATGCTGATGTATGACGGCTTCCCAAGCCTGGAGGATAGATGGTTCCATGGTCAATTGCCATGTACCTCTCCAAGTGATTGTAGCTTCGTGTCTATCGTGGAACACCTGATACTTGAAGAGTGCCGCCAACCCCTGTCTTCCGTTCCAGATCTCCATGGTTTCCAGTCGTGACATCTTTGTAGCCGCTGCCGCCGCTGCCCGAAGCATATCTCCGATCTCAATCGGATGTTCGGGCGCAAGTAAATTTGAAGTAAGCACGATCGAGCTTAGATTTGACCACTCCCAAGAGGGTTCGATCTTAAAGAAATCGCTAGCATCTACGATGAAGGATGCTGCGAGATGCTCAAGCTTGAGGCTGGCGAGTGCGATCATATGACTTACAGCTGGGGCTGGGCTGCGAAGGCTGTCACATTCGGCTATGTCTTCTCCGAACTGGAATCGCTGCATGATCGGTGGATACTGTTGATTGAAGTTCTCGAAAACCACAAGTCTCTTGAGATTCCTGTTGAATCGTGGGATATACTTGAAAAGATAGTGGAAACCTGTATAACGGATGCGGATCATTAGCAATGGAGTACCAATATAAATGAGAGCGAGTGATAAATTGGACAGGTATGCAATAATACTTACTTATATCTGTACCCCTCTGCATCAGGCCCCATTCCCTCCAGGGCTCGTAGTGGACTTCCTGGAGTCTGGGGAAACGGGCGAACATATGTGCAAGCGAGTGCGGCTTCCATCTCCGGCGGTTCTGTTGCCGGAGAAGTAGACTGGTTACCGCCGGGATTGATGGAAGCTGATCCCACCATTGGAGCTCTAATTCATCAGTAGCAAACGGTCCCTCCTCCATAACGCCATGAAAAACTTTGTAAATAGCCGTACGAGGCGGAGCGGAGTGTCGAAAACCAGCAACCCAGCCGTGTTGAGGATCATTGTAGTCTTTGTTTGATATTGTCTGCTCTATACCACCACCCAGCATATCTGAAGCGATATCGGGCATAAAGGTCAGATATGGGAACCAATGTTTGGAGTCACTAGGCGAGTAGATACTAATATCGAGTACCAAGTCGCCGTTAAGGCCCCATGTGCTTAGAACCGAGAACAGATTCTGGAATGCCGTGGGGATCGGACAGCCATCTGCATCCTGAATAATGATTGCCGCTTCGTACTCCTCGTCTGGGAGCCTTCCATGGAGGCCAGGGGCACATGTGGTGCAATCATAGCCATCAACTTCCAAGCAGAACCAGATATAGTTGACGAGAGCCCGATTGCGATGAATCATCGAACCAAAATCGACGAGACGAGATGGTGTCCCTTTGATTCGGGCGAAGTTATATTTCTCAAGCTCTGTTTGCCACTCTCGAGACACGGTGGCCAAGCGACTCAGTTTGCAACCGTCTTGTATCAGGACTCGTAGAATAAGAATCCGGATTTCTGGAGGCAGGCTAGCCCATCCTGAAGACATTGCTATTTGCCAAGGGATCTTGAAAATATAGCTGATAAACCGTGACTGGTGAAACTTCGGTCATGAGGCGATGGAGGAATATGGGTCGGAAAATACAAGAGGGGAGCGTGGGCGATTGTTGCGAAAAGGAATGAAATTCGGTGCGAAGGTTGAGTGGCTGACGGGAGATTTTATAGCAGAAATCCCCCCCTCTCGATCGTATAGCAGAAATCCCCCCCTCTCGATCGAGGTTCTTCGTCTTCTTGCTTGCGCCCCAAACACCCATAGTTCAAGGGCCTCGACGAGACCTCTGTATGGTACCCTTGTAATGATTGGTCGTACCAGTCTTTGACGTTCTTAGACGGCTTGGATGGCTTGGATGGCTTTCGAAGCAGGGCTCGGTCGTCTCTCGATCGCTTCGTCTTCTTGCTTGCGCCCGCCTATTATTGGAAACCCCTGGCAGCGAGAGGGTATTTTATTGAGTCCGTGTGGCGGAGGATACTCACTGACAGAGTCCTCTGCCTTGATAAGAGGTACGCAAGCCGCGCACACAGCACTGACCACTTCCTTGCCCTGTGGGGGGAAGACCCGGTTAGGCTTAAAGTCCTCGAAGGCCCAAAGTGTCTGGCACCACTGAGGGGCGAAGAGGAACAGGCTGTTGTGTCCGAAGAGATGCTCCAACAGTTGCCTGTGGTCCTTGAGTTGGTCCGAGTCAAATGGTTATGTTCTTAGGGGGATCGACCCAGGATTTCTGCATATACCTAAACAACACCGAAGGGAGAGCGATGAATAGGTTCGATCCCTGTCTGAGGTGCCTGGTTAGGCCATTATCTCTTCCGCTATGTATCAACTAATCACCTGTAGTTTAGTGGGTATATAGAAAATAAAAACAAGTATTTACCTTCTTGCTTGCGCCCCAGCCACCTTGCTTTGTATGGTACCCTTGTAATAACTGTTGTACTATTAAGTAGGTTCGACTATAGGCGCCGTATTGATTGTATCGAGCGGGTACAGAGAGAAGTCGACCGTCAGTCCGGCAATGGCGCCCGCCTGGCAAACAAGTAGTTAGAGAGAAGATCTCGCGGAAAGGACGTGACATGGCGCACCTTGCTTTGTATGGTACCCTTGTAATAATTGTTTGACGTCCTTGAATTAGATAGTTCTCGAAGCAACGCTCGGTCGTCTCTCGGTCGAGGTTCTTTGTCTTCTTACTTGCGCCCCAACCACCTCTAGTTCAAGCTACTCAACGAAACGTCTATCTCTTCTACTTTGTACTCCGTATGGTACCCTTGTAATGATTGTTTGACGTCCTTGAATGGTTTTCGCAGCGGGGCTCAGTCGTAAGCTGATGACTCCGGCTTCTACTTTTCCACTTGTTGTTCCTTTTTCTTTCCCTTCAGAATTGATATATTCCATGGGTGTGTATCTAAACTAAAGCAAGTTGTAGAGAGGAAATGGAGTAAGTGTATCCGTACTCTGTACTCCGTCAAGTGGCAAAAGACCAAGCAACATGCGAAGGCGCATCGGCGAGTAATTACTTCCTACCTACTTCCCTGCTACGAGCTCAACTGCAACTTACCCCAGCCGTGCCGGCTTTTATAACCACTTACCTTCCCTCTCGCACTTAAAGCGACGGTATTTTAATACTTAACAAACCATACCTAGAAGCTACCAGGGCTTAGAGTAATTAGACCCCACGCTGAACTATGTGGTGGGAAGTCAACCCATCCTCCAAGACAGCAATTAAGCACTTGGCCTTTTAAAAGAAGTGCTTGCCTGACCTAAACTCCCACTGTTCTTCGCCATAGTTTCTGCTATCAATCTACACGAGTGCCGACCTGCTGGAGGTTGAACCTTTCATTTCATCATTGGTCTATCTGCCTATCTGCTACCTAGGTACAGGAAAGTGGAATACTGAGGTGCGTCTCTCTCCGCAAATTTGCGGCTGGTGTTAACCAGGCGGTCGCCACGGGGAGGCTTGAGAGTCCGACTTCGCCGCCCATAAGAATACCTGTGCTGTGCTGTGCTGTGCAAGGAAAATAAGATGCAAAGAAATGTAAGTTACTTACAGACTCGTTACTTCCACCGCTCCAACCACCCAGGCCGCGCTGTATGGCCTTCAGGTTACCAACCGTTGTCAGAAAAGAGATCTGCGGAGATTGCATGAGCGACCTGATACATCGGCAACAAATTTCTACAGGAGTCTGCAGCGACTGTGTCTTCAGAGGTGTAGCTACTGCCTGGGTTGGTCTCTGAGCGTTTGCTTTGAGAATGTCGAGGCTGCAGAAAGCACGCTGTTAGCAAGACCCACGCGACCGAACGCTCACTTACTATTCATCGAACTTCAAGACCAAGTTATTCACATGACAAACTTCAACATTGAAAGGTTTAGTTGTTTCAGGAGCGGCGACTTGTTCAGGACCGGCAACGGGACGAGAGGACGACGGGATCTGCCACCCTCTCCGCGTTATGGCGGATTACCGCCCGTATGACGGCCTCCTCGGCGACAGCAACGGCCTCGCGGGCACGGGTGAGGGCCAACTTGGCTTCGGCGACGGCCTCGCCGGTGGCAAAGACTTTGTCAAGGGCGGAGCGTTCGGCGAGATGGTAGGCATTCCGGTTGGTCCGCCAGGTGAGACCACGACTCGGGCTGCCCGGCGTAGGCGGCATTTCCGCGTCAAAAATCCACCAACGCTGTTGACTTCAACATATGGGAGGGTACTCTGTGAGTGTGACCTTCTGTTGGCTTTGACATAAGGAACCGTAGCCCCCGATGGACTCGGGGGCGAAAGGAAATGGTTCAGGGCTGTGGGGGCCCTTTTCAAGCCCTTTCCAAGCTTTGTATACTTCTGAAACGTCAATCGCCCACAACTCGGGGTATTGTGGTGATGCTTCCTCTTCCAAATGCCTGGCTCTTGCTCCCGACAGAGGATATCCGTCAGCAATATAAGGATCCGCGGAAGGTGGATTCTGATCTGTCCAGAGTTAGCTTGCGAAAGGAGGCTTGTTTCAAAAGGTAATGTTGCAACTGAAAAGCGAGTTTGATCGGCCGGGGAGGGGGGGGGGATTCGGCGCGCGTCCTAGTCGTGCCATTCGTCGAATAAGCCCGTGTCGTTGGGAAAAGCAAAGTCATCCGTGAAGGAGGAATAATTCAAAGGTGAAGATAAGTCGAGCAAAGTGAGAGCTGAGGAGTAAGAGCTGATGAAAACTGTTGCTGCGGATTTTAAGGAAGGAGGGTATTGTACGGTAGAGCTGGAGGTTTCCCTAATCCTATCGACGCAGCACCCTTGGGTGCGAACCTGGAGGGACTCGTCTCCGAGCGGATCTGGCTCTATAGATTGTGGTAGGTGCCTTTCAGCGCTTTGAATGGTGCCTTCCGTAACAAGTGCTCTCTCTATAAGTGTGACCTTCTTAGAGATTGATTGTATCCGTAGTCTTGTGGGCAGGCAGTTGCGATATAGACCTAATGTACGCTCCTTACCCTCTAACCTCAGGGGCCACCTGGGGGAGCAAGATAGATCAAGAAGGTCCAATCCCCTCACGGCCGATCTTTGCTCTTCATAATCCAGCGCTCGATCCTCTCACTTCCAAATGTAGCCTCCATGATCACCTTGCCGAAGGAATCGACATCATTAGCCTTCGCATCCACAAGCAGCCTCTCCGTCTCCTGCCGGTGCATCAACCCAACATTGACTTCAGAGCATAATTTCGCCCATTTATACGCCGAGTTGGTGTCCCAAACCCCCTGCCGCGTTGTGAGCATCATTCCGCCCAGACACGCCGCCCACCCGCGTTGCAGCGTGAGGAAGACAGTCTGGATGCCGGACACGATGCTCCACGTGCGCCGGACGGACTCGGCGAGGATCCAGGCGTGCCACAGAGCCTCCTCACCGACTGCGTGGGGAAGTGGATTGTACGCAATGGGGGTGTTATTCATTGTCAGGCTATCCTCTGGGGCAGTAGTCATCTGGCGGTGGAAGGCGGCTAAACTGGCACTCTGCGAAGCGCTCTCAAGCATCTTATCGGCCCATGTGAAGAGGAGTGGGATGCGCTGTTCCGCGGCGTACCGGAGTCCAACGTCGCTGTCGAAGAGGCCCAATGTCTGATACACTATGAGCGCCTGAACGCGCGCGAGATGGTCGAACGTGTCGAGTGTCTTAACGCCTAGTGCCGGACTATCATCCAGCACGTTGTCTCGGAGCAGCTGCTCCGCCCTGTCCTGCAGGATTCGATAGGCTGTCTCCTCGTTTGCCGTCGTTTTCGAGTCGAAGTACGACAGCGCGGTACAAGCGTCTTGTATGCAACGCGGGAACCGATGCCGGTAGAGCTGCCGATGAATGAAAGGATTGGCACCCTCACTCGCCCATTGGGACAACCATCGACGAATCATGGTAGGATATCGCTTCAACATGGAGCTGGGGATCTGGGAGACGTCGAGATGAGTCATGTGGTCGAGTGTCCAGGTTTCCGGTGATAGAAACCAAATATCACTTGGGTTAACAGTGGGTTCGCGCGGAGATGTAATGGGTGCAACGGTATCAACTGTTTGATCGAGTTCAGAAAGGCTGGCCTGGGTCGATGGCTCGGCGTCAGCGAAAATAGCTGTCTCGTAGAAAGTGGAATGTGATTGAGGCGTGGAGGCTGATCCCTCCGGTTGGAACATGACAAAGGTGGATGAGCGCCTGGCTGGATAGTTACAGTTCAGGTCCTTCTCTTCACATCGGCTGCAGCGAGGGCTTTCCTTTCCGCACCTACGCTTAGCCCTAGCACATACACTGCAAGCCTTCCTATCGAGGAAAGGTGTGTGGGCCATTCTCAAAGGAGCGTGTAGTGTGTTTCTATCGCACTCTCCCGCACGGTGTAGACTAGAACAACAGTACAGTAGCTCCGTATTCTGTATGTAGTTGGCGATGAACATGAGATCGCGGGTGACGGGTGGTGGGTGGCGGAGGCCTTGGGGAATTGGTCAGCCTTGGAGCCCTGGACAGATCCTGCGGGAGTGATCTTTTCACTGGGGCGGAAGGCCATACCTGATCCGGTCAGCGCTCGTCCGCCGCGCGGGATCCAGCGTGGATCCGCTGCGGAAGATCTGCTCAACTCGGCGATCGCCTGCGCAGTGCGCAGGCCCAAACCATCACGCAGTACTTGACTGAGCGGTTGCATTTCCACCACGCGAGGCAAAACATGGATGATGTTGGGCAGGAGGGGCCGCGTTGACTCTTGATAATGTCCCCGAGGAGAGTATAAAGATCGCGAAGGTTGCGCCTTGAGCTTGCTGTTTCCTTGCATAGAATACTAGACACAATCAGTGAACCCGACGTGTAGCTAAACATAAGCCAGACAAAATGGACGTCCTCCAAGAGCTGTACCAGACAAACGTCACCAAGACCACTCACACCACCCCTTACCCGGCCATCTCACCTACCCTTCCCTCCCTCTCCCAGACCGGCAGGACCGTTCTCATCACCGGCGGCGCGACAGGGATCGGCCTCGCCATCGCTCATGCCTTCGTGCAAGCCTCCGCTTCGACGGTCATCATCGTCGGCCGTCGGGCCGATAAGCTGGCACAGGCATCTGAGGAGCTCACAGCCGCCGTCAAGCAGGCCGGCTTGAGCACGAACGTCGTCGCGCAGACCTGCGACGTGAGTGATGTCAAGAGTATCGAGGCACTCTGGGACGGGTTCAAGGAGAAGGATGTGGTGGTGGATGTGCTAGTTTCCAACGCAGCCAAATTTGCCAACGTCGCGGAGTTGTTGGAGCTCGGGGCGGAGCATGTATGGTCACTGTTCGAGACCAATGTCAAGGCGCCGCTGTTCCTGGCAGAGAAGTTCTACAAGCAGGGAGCAGACAGGGCAAAGGTATGTGACAGCTGGCTGGAATGCGGCCTACCTTGGATGCAGCCCGTGTTAACGCAGACAGGCTTTCATCAACGTCTCTTCAAATTTCGTCCACCTTTTCCAGTCCAAGGTTATGCAGGGACGGCTCGCATACGGCCTGACCAAGAACTCAGGGACTCTGGTGGCGCAGTTGGTGGCACAGGAAACCCCGCCAGAGAAGGTACAGGTCGTCAGCTTCCATCCCGGCCTCGTCTGGAGCGATGAATGGCCCGTAGAAATAACGAAGGGTATGCTTCCGTTTACGGACGGTGAGTCCTTTCCCACCTCGCAATGCACAGGCACTGAACTGATATTGTTGTAGTCGCTCTTTCCGGACACTTTGCTGTGTGGGCTGCCTCTCCCGAGGCGCGCTTCTTGCATGGCAGGTTCGTCTGGTCCTCATGGGACGTGGAGGATCTCAAAACAGGAGAGGTGCGCGAGAGGATCGACAGTGATTCGGCATTCTTGAAGATTGGAGTCACCGGTCTGCGTCTGGGCAATCTCGCCTGAACTAGCGCTGGCCGATGGATGTGAGTGAGCATTCAGTACTGAAATGAATTCACTGGAAGTGCGGATATAAATTCGAATGTCAAGTGATCTTCTCGACGAGAACTGTTACCTATCCCCTACCACTCTTTAGATGTCGTACAAAGGCTACATCACCTAGATAGTTAACTGCCTCTGCGAGAAAGGATCACGAATGGATGACTACTAGCAACGGTGACCTACATACTCCGTACAGTTGTTCAATTCTGCGCAACCCCGCAGTGATCTACTCTGGCCGCTCTTTCGAAATGGCCTAAGGCTGGATGCCAAACTAGATGGCTACTATCTCTAAGGCCAGTGGCTTGACCATGGTTACTGCCGACTCGCAGTAGAGAACCTCAGGATTTGCCATTTGGTCGCTTAGTAGCTTGCGCAAGCCGATGTGGCTAGACCCCAAATTCTGCCTTGCCAGCGCATCCCGTCACAACGAAGTCTCACGGTGAGGCTGAAGGCAGCAACGTGCTTTCCAACTTATCCAACCACCAGCAGCCGGACATGGAGCCCGTGCTATTCGATGCAATTATACTCTTCACCTGGCTTGTTACTTTGGCCACCGTCAACTTCGAGCGTGACGGCCCAGCTATCGCTGAGCATTCCAAACTGACCGCTGACTAGTGAGATCTGTGCCCATTAGTGCTAGAATAGCTAATAATGTCTCAGGGTGCCGGGTATATCATCGAACATGGCGGATCCCTTGAGCATCGGTTCCGGCATCGTCGGTATCATCGGCCTAGCGATCCAAGTGACACAGGTGGTGGTGCAGTTTGGATTGGACTGGAAAGATGCACCGCGCGAGGTCAAGGCCTTCATGGCCGAGCTCAAAACCCTGCACACCATTTTATCAGCAATCAACAACCTTATCCTCAGTCCCGAATTTACAGAGGCCTTTCAGACGAGGTCATCGGTTCTCGTCTCTCAGCTTCGACCCGGGGTGTCTCCCGTGGCCAATACAACCCTCCTACTACAAACATGTGAGAAGGAACTCCGGGGACTGCTCATTGAGCTGGAAAGAGGGCGAACGGACACAGAGTTGGTTGGGAGCGGCTAAAAGGAGCCTTCCTGGCCAAGCGTACGCGAGAGTCAGTTGAGAACCTCTCCCGCTGGTGTGGAGAACTAAACCATTTACTGTCGATCGACGCCGCTTCTGTGGGAGCAGCAACGTATACAGCAGTCAGAGAGTTAAGAAAGGAACACCAGCAGTGGCAGCAGATTGGAGCCGAAAAGGAGATGCTAAGTTGGCTCGTACGGCTCACGCCCGTTGACTATGCTCCCCAGCAAAGCGACCTACTTAGCAGACGACAAGAAGGCACGGCGCAATGGCTGTTAGACTCAACCCCTTTCCAGGATTGGGTCGATCAAAACATACAGACTTTATTCTGTCCCGGCATCCCGGGAGCAGGCAAAACAATCTCCGCCGCAATTGTTGTCGACTCGCTCTCCACGACCTTCCGACACGACAACGTTGGAATTGCCTACATCTTCTGTAACTTTCGAGTACAGCATAAACCTGTCGATCTTCTTACCACTCTACTCCAACAGTTGATCCGGGGACGGCCATCAGCACCACAATGCCTAGAACAGCTTTATGCCAGGCATCAACCGAGAAGAACACAGCCTACGATTGACGAAATCTCGAAAACCCTGGAATTGATCGTCCATGACCATTCCAAAAGCTTCATTGTTGTCGATGCTTTGGATGAACTTCACGACGCCGATGGATGGCGGACACAGCTTTTGACCGAGTTATTCAAACTACAAGCCATGACCGCAGTCAAACTCTTCTTCACTTCCAGGCCCATTCCCGAGATTGAGAAAAAATTCGATGGCAGGTGCACTAAATTGGAGATTCGTGCAAGCCCCGAAGATCTGCTTAGATATCTTGATGGACACATGTGGAAGCTGCCATCATTTATATCTACTAACGCAGACTTGCAGAAGGAAATCAAAACGGCAATCGTCCAAGCAGCAGGCGGAATGTAGGTATCTTGTATGTTATAGCAGCAACTGCAGTGGCTTACACGATTAGGTTTCTTCTGGCACAACTCTATCTCGATTCCTTGATCGGTAAGCGGTCGCCTAAAGCCATCAGAGAGTCATTGGGAAGGTTACGGAAGGGATCCAAAGCGGACGACCGAGCAAATCTCAAAGCTTACGACGAGGCGTATCGCGAAGCCATGGAGAGGATCCAATGCCAGGTTCCGGATTCCAACACCCTGGCTAAGCAGGCTCTCTCATGGATTACTTGTGCCAAGCGGCCGTTGACCACGGTGGAAGTTCAACACGCATTGGCTGTCGAGGTGGGCGAGTCAGAATTTGACGACACGAATCTCTCTGCGATCGAAGACATCATCTCAGTCTGTGCGGGGTTGGTTACGGTTGATGATGAGAACAAGATCATCCGGCTGGTCCATTACACGACACAAGAGTTCTTCGAACGGACGCAGAACGAATGGTTTCCCCAGGCACAGGCCGATATTGTGGATATCTGCACCACCTATTTATCATTCGAGGAATTTGAGTCTGGGCCATGCAAAGAATACACAGAATTTCTGGCACGACTACGATCCTACCCATTGTACGACTATGCGGTGCAGAATTGGAGACATCACTTTCGCGAATCAGGCGATAACGACCGGTGGCGAAAGGTGCATTTCCTTAGAAGTGAACTCAAACTGGAAGCTTGCAGCCAGGCTCTGTTCGGAGATTTTGAGCATGGGATGCTGATGGGTCGCCCCAGACCGGGGCTTAGGAGGCTCAGACGGATACAGCTGGTGCATCTCGGGGCATGGTTCGGACTAGCAGACGTTGTCGGTATGCTACTTAAGGATGGGTGTGATCCAGACAGTATGACCTCGTACGACGAAACGACGCTGTCATTTACTACGAGAAGAGGTCACGAGGAAGTTGCTCGACTCCTAATCGAGAACGGTACTAAGGTCAACTCGGCCAATTATCGTGGAATGACACCACTAATGATTGCATCCGAGAACGGCCACGAGGGTATAGTTCGCCTACTAATTAAGAACGGTGCGATAGTGATTTCGACCAATAACTTTAACGAGACACCACTGTTCATGGCATCCCAGTTCGGCTACGAGAGGATAGTACGCATCCTGATCGAGAACGGTGCTGAGGTCAACCCGATGAATAATGCTGAAGACACACCACTATCAATTGCGTCCCAGGAACGCCATATGGGTATAGTTCGCCTCCTGATCGAGAACGGTGCTAAGGTCGACTCGACAAATCGTGGAAAGACGCCACTATTCTCAGCTTCCGAGAATGGCCACGAGGGGGTAGCTCGCCTCCTGATCGAGAACGGTGCTAAGGTCAACTCGACTGATGAATTTTGCGAGACACCACTATCAATTACATCCCGGTTCGGCTACGAGGGGGTAGTTCGCCTCCTGATCGAGAACGGTGCTGAAACAGCTCCCAGCGGAGATGATCTCACAGAGTGACTCGATTGACCTCTGTGCGCAGAACCAAAGGGCGATGAAGAGAAGGTATGGAAAGCAAGGGCCGGGCCGGGATGGGAGGGCTGCAGCCTTGAAGGCGAGCGCAAGGCTGAATTCAGGTGACTGCCATGATGTGAACTGGTGCTGTGCTCTGTGATCTGGAGTGCTCTGTGATCTGGAGTGCTCTGTCATCTGGAGTGCTCTGTCATCTGGAGTGCTCTGTCATCTGGAGTGCTCTGTCATCTGGAGTGCTCTGT